GGCTCATTAGTGTTCGTTCGTCCACACTTCCCTGGTTCTTACACCGAGTGTGACATGACTTGAATTTGACATAGGTATATATGGCGGATATCACCGATGAAGCTAGTTACGCTGTCCCTTCTGGAGCACATGGTATTTTTCTTTTTCTTCTTTTAAAGGTGTCTCCGTGCACATTTGCTCATAACTCACCATAGCGTTTTCGCTTTGTGGTCAAATTACAGTTTCGTTGACACGCAGGTATTACCCTAGTAAAATATCCTTGTCTAAGAAAGCCTGCGATATTTACTCAAACATTTTAATGTATGTTGTATTATGTTAAAAAGTGGTGAAATGACGAGACACTTTATACAGTTGTTACGATATAAATGTCTTTGATCCACCCAAACAGTTTCTCCTGTGAACCGCCCAGTAATAAATCTACCCGTGATTTATAAAGAATTTATAATAAACCGTATAAATCCACCCAAAACTGATTTCAGGACGACAAGTTATCTGATGCTGCCAAGTAGACCGTTGTTATCAAATTGATTATGGTAGTGTGAAGCTATGTGTACTAAAATATGAAAAGATTGGACGGTGAGGCAGGAGAACACTGTTAGGTAGACTTTAATTGTATAAGGACAATCTGTTTTATTTTTTGTATAAACAAACTTAGTGTTTAAAAGGCTGGTATGTATGTATTCTTATACTGATTTACGGCTGTACCATATACAGGCTAGCTTCTCATTTCTACATGAAGGCACAACGGTCATCAGAGTCCCCTAAACTAAGAACATAGTTTAGGTATGTCTCAACAACCCCCCCCCCCCCCCCCCCCGGTCCCCGTATTAACCGGTTCGCTCTTTCAAATTCATCTGCCATCTGTATACCACAGACAATAGTTATCTTTTATTATTTTCTAATTCTCAATAATTTTCTTCATAGTTTATTTTTGTATGACAATAACCTAATATAGTGTTGTAGTTACGACCAATCCGCGAGGGTGACATGTTTGTTCGGTGTTGATATAACATCTAAATTGTATAATTATTCTTCATAGAAAAAGAAAACGTTTCCTTTTACTGTTTTGACTTCTCATTTCACTGTGACCACAGTTTCTAATGACCATTTTGTGTAAATACAGTAACGTTTTTAAAACTTGTCAGTTTTCTCGCGATATACCTACATGTAACAATTGTAGATGAAACTTGATAGCTATTTGAACCCATGTAATATTTATTAATTTGTTTTAAACAGGTTTTTGAGAAGACATAGATGATAAAAATACGTTAAAACAGGATTTCACCTCGAATTGCTATATAACTATGACATCAACATATTGACGTACTATAAATTAAACGGTAAGTACATGCCACCTAACCGGAATATATACGGCGAGGGGTATAAAAGTTCAAAAGAATGCTCAGTTTAACTTTTAGCTTTGTGAGATATAAGATGTTAAATTTTCCAAATAAAAAAAAAATGATATAAATATTTGTTCTTGTTTCTATCCGTAGATAATTTTTTTTTTTTGATATATAATTTTGAGAAATGATTATCAATGAGTATCGGTGCTCGCGAGTCGCGGGGCTAACCAATCTTCCGAAAAATAGATGTCCTGGTTAATAGACCCATCAAATTGTATTGCATACGAGCTTAAGGACCGTCACAATATATGGACGCCCTTTTACAGTGTAAACATAATTATTACGTAACCAAAGCACGTAAAGTTCACGCATACGCCTTGCTTGTTACCGACAATACAGACACCCGTCGTCGAATTCACGTTTTAGGCTTGTGTTGTTTTAGACCAATCGTAACTGATATTTGAACACCCCATTCCCCTCCACAAATTCACTCTCATTATAGGCCGCGTTCTGTGTCCTTATATTAAAGACCTCCGATGCTATTAAGATTTTACGTAGTAGTGTTCAGTCAGATTAAATCAAATACAGTCGTGACCAAATACGCCACAAGTATAATGACAAACACACATTAATAAATGTTTTGTCAATAAATGATAATTGAGTTTGATTTTCGTGTTTTTGTCTCCTCTACTATAACGTCTTATAAATGAGATCATACGTATACTGTCGTTATTACTTATGAGACCTATATCATAGACAGTTTGTAGGATATACACTCCCATCCTCTTCATTGTGGTAGAAACATCGGATCCTGATTGAAGACTTTTGTCTTTGTTAGGTCAAAATTCTTCAATATTGTTCAATTGTCGCTATGTTTGGTCGAGCGCATTTTCAGTAAACTTTCGCTGAGAGTGTATCATTACGTGACACTTTCGTTGGTTAAGCTTGATATTGTTAAACTCCAAGTAACCACGAGGTTGTGAATATTGATACGAAACTAAACATCATACTTGTGAAGAAGATTGTCTATCTTTCTCGTCTGAACAGGTAGATGAGGTGCTAAGGATAAATAAACAGTGTTTTACATATAATGCTTTTCCGCGTGATCGGATGTAGAAAAGAAGAAAAACTTTATAGAACGAATAAACTTATAAATATACCGGTTCTTGTCTGCTTTACATTCAATTAATTTTCGTATGTTCGCATATTTCAAAAAGTACATGACAACTATAAGACTATATTAAGCTTTGCATGTTGTATTAGGGTATTAATACATGTCCTTCACGAGCTCTTTCTGTTTAAGTCTTTGACACTACGTCACTGTCAGATAAATCTTAACAAGATCATACACGGTGTACAATAGTAACAATACAAGTCTATGAGGTACGTTGACACAATCTTCTCAGTTCTTAATTGTCAGCGCGCGGTGCGTTGTTAGTGTTATGACGTAAGCAAACCCGCGTGGATTATATCTTTAACGCGCCCAGGTAATAAGGTGTTAGACTCACTGTGTAATTAGCGCAATTGTTTCCGTCTCTGAAGCGTCTGTTATACCACCATAGATGTTGTGAGGACGCACAGTTCGAACAACAACATCACAACCGTCCCTGGTCGTACATTTATTATCGTAAACACATTATATTCCCAATGAAAGATAAACAAGGAATTCGACACAAGTTATTACAACTGGTGTAGCCTTCTTCCGTCATACATTTACAATTACATGATAACAATGACAACAGAGGCATACACATGAAGTATATATATACACAACATAAAAACATATATATTGCTGGTTTGATTTGATAACGTGATGAACATGTCTAAAACGTATAGATATTAATGTCCGCCAAAAGATCCGTCTCTGGAAAGAAACGTCGTATGGAAAGTCAGGGAAATGTTGAGTACTCTTTGTATTGATTCCCAAAAATATCTCTGACAGTCTTTTATTATTTAATGGAATAAAAACGGGACACATTTTATGAACATTTTCTTTTAAAATTGTTTTAAGATAATATATTGTGTGATTACCGTTTCCCCAGGAATGAAGTGTTTCGAGAAAGAAAAAAAAAGGGGGGGGGGGGGGGGGGGGGATAAAATATGGCCCCTGAGGGTTAATGTCCGGAATTTGAGGGTTCCGAATTTAGTTCCTGCTTTTTTTTTGTCTAGAATTTTGAAAATTTGATGTGTACGTTTCCTGAAAACTAGGTATACATATATAGTAACGTCATTATCGCTTTTTTTGTTACCGTTAAAAAGTTCATTTTTTGTTCAGAAATACTAGGACAATTTCAGTCTATACAAATGTGTGTGTTTCCGTTTGTTCGTAAGTAGCCCGAGTTTCCCCCTCCCCAGACATCTATATGTCAAAATGTCTAAGTCTGGTGTTAGGGCCAGAGGAAACTCGCGCGAGTTCTATAAATCTCACATACTGGCACATCTTTAATTAGCGCGGTCATTGTACGCATAATGTTCCTACTGGGAATGTACACGCCCCGGGGGGCTCAATTCATAAAAACCACCCATCACACCCGGGCTGAGGAATTCCGTAACGGCACTATATATCAGCCGAACGCGACCTATCCCCAACCAGTACGTTATGTGGACATTCTAAAATCTAAATCAATCGAATCCGGAAACTAATACGTACGACGCAGTGCTTGTAACGCTATGTAAATATGTTTATTTCAGTTACAGGTAAATCTCCAGGTGTGTCATGTTACGTGATAAGTAGGTACAGAAAACTTGTTCAAACATATAAAAAATACATCCAGATCAAAGTCGGCATTCTATAGGTACAAAGTACTTCTCTACTGTCGTAAAGACATTTTCGTTCGTCAATAAGCGTATAGATCTTCATTGATATTACAAATGTATTATAGAACCTTGCGGATCACACCAACTGGTGTTTAATTTTCTTCTCCTGTCTCGTTATCAATTTTCAATAATTGTCGGGCATACAAAAAATGACCAATTCATCAAAACAGGAATTCTAAATGATTTAAAGTTCTGTACATCGTATGTGTGTCAATATTATACACATGCATCACAAGCTTAATATATCTACGATATGTATTTGAATTTATAAAGAACAGATTAATAATCTTTTTCATTTTCACTATAATAAAAATGTCGTTAAAATTCCGGAATCGGAAACTATAGATATAGGCCAAACCAATATAGAACCGACACTGCCTCCGTCATGCTACGTTGGTGTTTCCTCCTCTTTCTCTTATTTTTTCTGTTATCTGTTTCTGTTTATCTCTTGCATCATTCGTCCCTGTTTGCCTATCTGACATAACCTCATACTCGACTAATTTTACATTTTTTAGACCGAGATTGGTTTAGGTTTGCTGTTGTATCATTTCAAATTGGTCTCTCATTGTCTGATAGAAGCTTTCCAAATCTTTACCTCTCTCGTGATCACTCGTACCCTTAAAAGTTTGCCCTGTACCTACGCGTATTAACCAAGAACAACAGTTTCTGTCCTGTCTTTGAGAATATAAGTATTTACATCGGTCAAATTCCTGTCGAGCGTCTTCCCTTACAACGCCTTTTGTATTCCGGTGGCATTTTGTTAAGTGAGTAAACTTCACACGCCAAACAAGGTCGATAAATACTACGACACAAATACCGTAGTAGTATAGTCATTTAAACCCACTTGCAAATTCCATTCATGAATTGTTGAATAGGGATCATTTCAATAGCCAAACCCAAACTTGTCGTCATTGAACCATGTCGGGTGTACCCGACCAGCGAACCAATGTAGCGACGGGTGACGCCGTCCGACGAATGAACCGGGCACGCCTTTCATTGTTGGCTGTTTGATACACTGCTACTTACCTTGGCTGCCTCCCTCACTGGAACTTCATACACCGTAGGGGAAAGACGTACGGAATACACCTGCCGGCGAACATGGAATTAATACGCTGACATTTCGGAAACATACTGTTAAAACAATATCCGTATCTTATCATTGACTGTGAAAATTTTGTTTTTTCCTGAAATCGATTTGGATCTAACATATATTCTACAAACATAGAGCAGGTAAGTTGTTTTGATATTAATTAATTATATATGTTTGTTTCTGTATCATTTAAAAGCGAATTTCATTGATAATTATTACATTAAACAATCCTTAATCCTGAAATATAATCGGCATTTCAGAACGACCTTATTTATAATTTCCATACCCATAAATGAAAACCACTTCCACGTAAACATTGTTTTTTCATCGAAAGCCTTGAAAATAATGATACAGGTAGATCGAACGAATATAGTCATTCACAATTATTATAATACGTAGGTAAGGTATAAATATACCCTTAAATTTGTATCGAAACATACCGTTGTCGAACGTCATACCATTAAATCTACAACTACAACTCAGCATAGAATATAAGTAGGCTGAATAGGTCCTCTCAGAAGCCGTTGGTGTTTGCAGATCGAATATTTGCTTTATTTTCCATTGCGGATAGCTCTTGTCAAGATTATTGACCGCCTCTGTCTGGGTATTTGTTATAGAATGGTTACATCGACGACCTCTAGATATGGGACATTTCTAGTCAAGCCAACATTACGCCTAGCGTTTAATGAGACCATAAACCATACAAACGATAACAATTAAATAGCGTATAGCATCTAGCGCACAACAGTTAGGGTACAGCTATTGATTTGCCTGTCTCCATGTTTTCCCGGGATGCAGATGTCATTAATTCTAAGGGTTGAATCTGCTACAGGTTGCACGACCGACCGGCGTGTTCTCCTATATATGTATATATATATACGGAATGGATCGTATAGATCTATGCTATCGAGCCCAGCATGCAACCAAATCAGCGATAATGCATGTATAGCCAAAATATGCATATGCATGAGAATAAATTAGTTTAGGGAATTTCGCACAAAGTTACTGAAATTATCGATGGGCTGTACAGCTTTATAAAAACAAATATACTTTAACTAGATTACAGGGTACAAGGCGGTACATGCATAATGCGGACTTAATCTCCATTCACAGTGCACTGTGTCAAGCGATGTGCTACATAAGATTTATATCTGAAAAGCAATTTCAGAAAACAGTATACAATAGGTATGTGTGTCGCCCATCGAGGCGTTTAAACGAGGTGTCAATTCATGCTGCTGCGTACGAGACCCAAAGCATTCAGTTTATTGTGGTATTAAATTACAACCAACTTAAACATTACACTTTCCTTGAACAATTGTTAAATGTTCGCCTTTCTCACAGTTGGGGCCCTCCTGTGTTTATATACTTTGTCAGACTAGTTTGTAGAAAAATATAGGGTGCAGTTTTGTTAACTCAATGTTTGTGTGGTTTAAGAGAGTCGGATATGACAGTCCCCTGTGACGTGCCGAGAGTACAGTACATGCCCGTCTATAAATCAGCCAAAGAGGAATAACATTCATATATAGATTCTGAAATACAAGAATCGGGCCCTATTGATACATTCGCTAATGTTTGTACATACGTTCTTCATTTTGAAACACAGGTATTTAAAGTATTGTTAAAGTTCGCTGACCCGGTAGGTCAGACTGGTTTAATGTTAAACATTAAAGGTCACCACGGTTCTGTCACTTTAGTCCGCTTGGGGGTGATACTTGTAAACGTCTGGAGGTGCAACTAAAGTGTCAATGTAGGTATCAGTATTGCGTGCACATTACGTATCACATCGGGTATAAATGTCATTGTAAAAGTTCAGTTAAGATGCACGGTAGGAGGCACAGTAGTCTAGAAGTATGACGCCGGGCTCGTGACCGAAGGGTTGCGAGTTCGAGACACGTCACAGCACTGTGTTGTATCTTTGAGCAAGATACTTTACTTCTCTTGTTCAAGTCTACTCAGCAGTAAATGAGTACGTGGTTGTGCAGTGCTAGAATTGTTGAATGCTAGCTGTGAGCGCCGCAATGGCAGCACCGGCTGTATGCTCCCCAGGGAGTTGAACAAGATATTGACTGGTTGTAAAGGCCCTATAACCACGGATGATAATTTGTGAACCGCTTTGAGACGTCCTACGAACTAGGTTGTGATAAATCGGTATATAAGAACCTCGAATTATCATTTTTATTATGAATACGGACACCTAGGAAGTGAAAAAAGAAACACATTTCACGAGTGTTACGATTGAGTAAACATATCAGAATTGTTTTTTTTTCTTCCTTTCAACTCTTACCAGAAGACACACAGGGAAACCCCTGCGTAGAGACAGACACACATATTTTCAAATATCTTTTATAACTTTAAAATTCCAATACAACAGGTCTATCCCGCTTTTAACACTTTTTTTTTTATTCCGATGACGTTTTATAAATGTGTAAAATATATCGATCGACACATACTGTAGTAGCATTATCATTTAAACCCACTTACAGTTCCAGTCACGAGGGCTGACGTACTATCCCGTACCTTATACATAAGAAGTGCGGTATCTTTTGAGATGGTTTTGTTTACTTTTCATTTAGTTGTGTACAATTCGAACAGATCATAAATGCTTTGTTGGACGTTGACAAATAAAAAAACGAATGTGGGTTTGCAACTTTAATAAGTAGAAATAGCATTTATTTTTGTTAAGAAATTTGTGTAACAAAATATTTACTAATATTGATCTATCAATTTAAAATTGATAAACAAAAAACCAAACATGTTTCTGTAAGATTTCAAAATAATATTACAATGAAATTTTGATGATGAATATGAAAAGAGAAAAGATTAATATGGAAAAAACTAAAACGATCCATAGGAGAGTAAATCAAGTTTTGACAAACCTAAACAGTTTTGAATTTCTTTTTTATTTAAAGGTTCCCAGTTTCAAAATGGTATTTGTGAAGAAGACCATTGTGTGGGCGACAATTTTAGTGGTAGTGAGTATGATGTTGACATCGACAGAAAGCTCCTCGGCCACAGAGGCAACTACAGCCGCAGTCACAACAGCTGAAGCAACAACAGCTGCAGTCACAACAGCTGAATCAACAACAGCCGCAGTCACAACAGACGCAGCCACAACAGCCGCAGTCACAACAGACGCAGTCACAACAGCCTCAGCCACAACAGCTGAAGCAACAACAGCTGCAGTCACAACAGCCGCAGTCACAACAGCTGAGGCAACAACAGCCGCAGCCACAACAGCCGCAGTCACAACAGCTGAGGCAACAACAGCTGTAGTCACAACAGATGCAGTCACAACAGCCTCAGCCACAACAGCTGAGGCAACAACAGCTGCAGTCACAACAGCCTCAGCCACAACAGCTGAGGCAACAACAGCCGCAGCAACAACAGACGCAGTCACAACAGCCTCAGCCACAACAGCTGAGGCAACAACAGCTGCAGTCACAACAGCCGCAGCGACAACAGCTGAGGCAACAACAGCTGCAGTCACAACTGCCGAGGCAACAACAGCTGCAGTCACAACAGACGCAGCCACAACATTTGTGAACCGCTTTGAGACGTCCTCAACAGCTGCAGTCACAACAGCTGAGGCAACAACAGCCGCAGCCACAACCGCCGCAGCCACAACAGGCGAGGCAACAACAGCTGCAGTCACAACAGCCGCAGTAACAACAGCCGCAGTCACGACACCTGAGGCCACAACAGCTGCAGTCACAACAGCCGAGGCAACAACAGCCGCAGTCACAACAGCTGAGGCCACAACAGCCGCAGCCACAACAGCTGAAACAACAACAGCCGAGGCCACAACAGCCGCAGCCACAACAGCTGAAGCAACAACAGCGGAGGCCACAACAGCTGCAGTCACAACAGCCGCAGTCACAACAGCTGAGGCCACGACAGCTGAGGCCACAACAGCTGCAGTCACAACAGCCGAGGCCACAACAGCCGCAGCCACAACAGCTGAGGCAACAACAGCCGCAGTCACAACAGCTGAATCAACAACAGCCGCAGTCACAACAGCTGAGGCCACAACAGCCGCAGCCACCACTGCTGAAGCCACAACAGCTGCAGTAACAACAGATGAGGCAACAACAGTCGCAGCCACAACAGCTGAAGCAACAACAGCCGCAGTCACAACAGCTGAGGCAACAACTGCCGCAGTCACAGCAGCTGAGGCCACAACAGCCGCAGCCACAACTGCTGAAGCCACAACAGCTGCAGTAACAACAGCTGAGGCAACAACAGCCGCAGCAACAACAGCCGCAGTCACAACAGCTGAGGTCACAACAGCCGCAGCCACCACTGCTGAAGCCACAACAGCTGCAGTAACAACAGCTGAGGCAACAACAGCCGCAGCTACAACAGCCGCAGTCACAACAGCTGAGGCTACAACAGCCGCAGTCACAACAGCTGAGGCAACAACTGCCGCAGTCACAACAGCTGAGGCCACAACAGCCGCAGCCACAACAGCTGAAGCCACAACAGCTGCAGTCACAACAGCTGAGGCCACAACAGTCGCAGCCACAACAGCTGAAGCAACAACAGCCGAGGCAACAACAGTTGCAGTCACAACAGCCGAGGCCACAACAGCCGCAGTCACTACAGCTGAGGCCACAACAGCCGCAGCCACAACAGCTGAAGCCACAACAGCTGCAGTTACAACAGCTGAAGCCACAACAGCTGAGGCAACAACAGTCGCAGCCACAACAGCTGAAGTAACAACGGCCGAGGCCACAACAGTTGCAGTCACAACAGCAGAGGCCACAACAGCCGCAGCAACAACAGCTGAGGCAACAACAGTTGCAGCCACAACAGCTGAAGCAACAACAGCCGAGGCCACAACAGCTGCAGTCACAACAGCTGCAGTCACAACAGCTGAAGTCACAACAGCTGAGGCCACAACAGCCGCAGCCACAACAGCTGAAGCCACAACAGCTGCAGTCACAACAGCAGAGGCCACAACAGCCGCAGCAACAACAGCTGAAGCAACAACAGCCGAGGCCACAACAGTTGCAGTCACAACAGCAGAGGCCACAACAGCCGCAGCCACAACAGCTGAGGCAACAACAGCTGTAGTCACAACAGCCGAAGCCACAACAGCCGCAGTCACAACAGCTGAAGCAACAACAACCGAGGCCACAACAGTTGCAGTCACAACAGCTGAGGCCACAACAGCCGCAGCAACAACAGCTGAAGCAACAACAGCCGAGGCCACAACAGCCGCAGCCACAACAGCTGCAGTCACAACAACTGCAGCCACAACAGCCGCAGTCACAACAGCCGCAGTCACAACAGCTGAGGCCACAACAGCTGTCGCAACAACAGTCGCAGCCACAACAGCTGAAGCAACAACAGCCGAGGTCACAACAGCTGAGGCCACAACAGCCGCAGTCACGACAGTTGAGGAAACAACAGCCGCAGCCACAACAGCAGAAGCCACAACAGTTGCAGTCACAACAGCTGAGGCCACAACAGCCGCAGTCACAACAGCTGAGGCCACAACAGCCGAAGCCACCACAGCTGAAGCAACAACAGCTGAGGCTACAACAGCCGCAGCCACCACAGCCGCAGTTACAACAGTTGAGGCCACAACAGCCGCAGCCACCACAGCCGAGGCAACGACAGTAGCTGCAACAACAGTAGCAGCAACAACAGTTGCAACCTCAACAGCTGCAGTCACAACAGCTGAGGCAACAACAGCAGAGGCAACAACATCTGCAGTAACAACAGCCGCAGCTACTACAGCTGAAGCCACAACAGTCGCAGTCACAACAGCTGGAGCAACGACAGCCGCAGTCACGACAGCTGATGCCACAACAGCTGAGGCCACAACAGCTGCAGCCACAACAGCTGAGGCCACAACAGTCGCTGCAACAACAGCCGAGGCAACAACAGCCGCAGTAACAACAGCTGCAGTCACAACAACTGAGGTAACAACAGCCGCAGTCACAACAGACGCAGCCACAACAGCATCAGTCACAACAGCCGCAGTCACAACAGCTGAGGCAACAACAGCCGCAGTCACAACAGACGCAGCCACAACAGCATCAGCCACAACAGCCGCAGTCACAACAGCATCTGTAACAACAGCATCTTTAACAACAGCTGAAGCAACAACCGCAGCAGTAACAACAGCTGGGGCCACAACAGTTGCAGCCACAACAGCCGAGGCAACAACAGCCGCAGCCACAACAGCCGAGGCAACAACAGCCGCAGTAACAACAGCTGCAGTCACAACAGCTGAGGCAACAACAGACGCAGCCACAACAGCATCAACCACAACAGCCGCAGTCACAACAGCATCTGTAACAACAGCATCTTTAACAACAGCTGAAGCAACAACCGCAGCAGTAACAACAGCTGGGGCCACAACAGTTGCAGCCACAACAGCCGAGGCAACAACAGCCGCAGTCACAACAGCCGAGGCCACAACAGCTGCAGTAACGACAGCCGCAGCCACAACAGCTGGGGCCACAACAGTTGCAGCCACAACAGCCGAGGC